TAATTACTTTAGTTTTTTTTTAGTTCTTTTAAACTTGTACTAATTATTAAACCCACGTTTTCCATACGAAAGAATTGAGACCTTATTGTGATTATCCCTCAAAGTTATGTATGATTTGAATGTTTGATTTGATCACCTTTCGTTTTCTCTATTTACTGCTTTGTGTATATATATCTTAATTATTAAACCCGCGTTTTCTCTAATTGAGATAATAATAATAAGCATAATTATGAATGGAGCTAAGCTAACCAATGATGGATTGTGGGCAAAATTTCAAAATTGGTCCTATAACTTGGCCACTGTCCAAAAAACCACCCTTATATTGATCACTTTCAATTTAGGTCATATAATTTGTCGATTTCATCAATTTTGGTCTTTTTTATCCGGACCTGGTCTTTTTTATCCGGATCCTGGATTAAAAAGTGACGTGGCATGACGTGTCAGTTTTTTAAGGTTACATGGCGTGATTTATGATTTACGTGGCACGTCAATTTTGGTCATTTTTTCATGTCATGTCAGTTTTTAATCCAGGATACAGATAAAAAATGACCAAAATTGATAAAATCGACAAATTATAGGATCTAAATTGAAAGTGGTCAATATAGGAATAGTTTTTTGAACAGTAACCAAATTATAAGACCAATTTTAAATTTTTGTCATGGATTGTGCATGTGATGTGCCCCCACTAAATATGCAGAGACAGAGTAACAACTAAATTAATTTGCATAATGTCTGTCTGGATTAATTAATTATTAACTAATCTCTCTCTCTCAAAGATGATATATATATATATATTTATCCTGATAAAATATTAATGTTCCAAGATAAATTAGAGAGTAGATGTAATTTTTAAAAATGTAAAGTAAATAAACTACTACAAAAAAGTACGTAACAAAAGATTGTTCCTAAATTTAAACAAAGTAACTAACAAAAGATTGTTCTGAAATTCAAACAAAGTAACTAAATAATGTTCTTAAATTTAAATAATAAAGATAAGTAACTATGATCTTCAACTCTTCTTCTTTATGGTGATGATTGTAGAGGATGCTTTCTTTTCCTTTCCTTTTGAATTTTTCCGCCCATATTTCTTTTTAAGACTGCTGATTGTTTCATTATTGTCGATTTCAATGATACTATCATTGGCGTCTTCCTTCATCTTGTCAGCGACGCGTTTTCTTCTTTGAACTTGCTTTTTTTGTGACGCCTCTTGATTCTTTTTTTGTAATCTTGCAATTGCTTCGACAACCACGTTCATCTCTCCTCTTGAGTTGTAAGACTTATGATTTATTTGGATGAGAAATTGGAATTCGGTGGTTGATTGCTTGCTCAAGCCTCGACAGTAATCGGACGATTCTTCTCCCTAATGAATATGGAACGAAATTTGAGTTATAATTGAGTATGTGAAGATGAATTTGAGTTATAAATTAATGTATTTGAAGATGGATTTGTGTTATAAATTTAAAAATTTATTTAACTGCTCAATAGATCTAATGTAGTCTGCAATAGAGCACCCCACGTAAACCATCCCGACATCTTCGAAAAGTGTTATAGTACCACTGAGGTTCGCTTCTACGACATTTAGTACCAACATATATTTGCAAATAGTACAGTTGTTTTAATTAATTGTTTTGTTTATAAAATATAAGGTCTAAATCTTTTGTTTTTCTTATTACCTTGGAGTTGGTTCCACGACATTGTTGCACTTTTTACACAACTTGTTGCTGTCATTCTTGTTAACAGAGGAGGTGCATTTTTTGCACGATTCATACCATAGAGATGTTTTGTTCATTACTTTGGCGACAATTCCTCTTAAGCAGTAGTACTTTCCCTGTAATTGGAAACATTTTTTATGGATATAAATATCTCAACCAAAGACTATGTTGGATATAATTATAATATTTGTTAAATTTATCTCAATTTTGTCTGCACAATTGTAGTAAATCTGTTGCAAGGTGATACTATCCAAGTCCTTCATTCTTCATGCCATTGACATTTCAATTATATTCACAGGCGTACGATGTGTTTGTAATCTAAAAAAACAAAAATCATGTGCTATTTTTTTTTTTAAAAGTAAAGTGTGATATTCTTTATATCGTGTCAAGAATTTAGAGGATACCATATACGCATATGGTTGTATTGCTCACACGCCGTGTTGATCTGAAGAAGAGATGATGCACTGGTTTGCATTTGCAATTGTCCTAATCAAATAAATGTGAACAAAATAAGAGCAAACGATGATATATAATAGTTGTATATGGGAGAATAAATTTCAAATAAATACTCCCCGACAATATGTATGATTGTAAATACTAATTAAATTATGCGCTAGATTATGTATTAAAAAAAATAATGCCTCCCGGGAAGAGGATGGGCATACATTTAATGGCAGTGAGGCCACAATATCTTCATCATATTTGTTTCTTTTAATTATCTATTTAATAAATACTCGTACGCTATAAATACTCTTATGTAATAAAAATAATAGTTTCATTAGCAGTATAAAAATAAAAGTATTGTTTATGTAATAAAAGTATTATTTATGTAATAACTTTTTATATTACCGTTGTAGATCTTTGGTGATATAAAATTGCTAATTGCAATAAATGGGCTCTCTTCAACCATATTGGGTACTATGGATCCTTCATTTTGAGTCATGTCATCCCATAAAGAGACAATAATGGATCGATACCTACAAATACAATTTGAAGCGTATTTATTGGAGTTTTTCTATTATATATGTATATTAAAAGTATGCAGTTTATTATTAATATTTAATACGGCATTGTAAATTTGTAAGGAAGAAAAATATGTACTCTTGGTCCATAATGGTTATCTCTCGTAAGTTTGTTTTTACTCCGTTTGCTTTTGTCACGATTCTTGATTCCTTTGCCTTCATTACAATCCCATATATGTCTGGAAAAAAATATAAATGTAATTATATTAATAAACGGAGTTTATAGGAAATTAATTTTTGCATATGTAAAATATATACATACCAATTTTTTTATTCGCATAATTTTTGATATTGATGTTGTTGAAGGCGGTGAAATTATAGGAGATATTGTGTTGTATATCTTCAGCAGCAAGATTTACAGAGGTATCGTTGGAATTTTAAGGAGTATTTCTTTTTCTGGATGAATGGCCATTTTGAAAATGTGGGATTGACTTGTCCAACTTCAACATCAGTGATTGAATACGTGTTGTTTAGTTTGAATTTGTTGGCGTATTCATTAATATCAGCATTCCACATTATTACTCCAATGTGGACTCCCTGCACAAATATAAATGAATAAAATAAATAGTTAACCACAATTGTTTATCTCAAGCTTTAAACATTTATAATTAGTTATTAATTTTTTTATTAAGTAATTAAGTACTAACAAAAGTACTTGGTTAAAATCTTTACATGAGTTATCCACTCAAAATCTTTACGTGCTGGACTCCGGTTTCAGATGATACAAATACACCTTCACACAAATTGATAGTTATAACAATAAGAACATGTTGATGAAGGAGGATTCATTTTGAAGTTCAGATAAATTATTAATTTTCTCTAAAAAACAGTAATTTCATACAAGCAAATTTGAGATTCCATATTATGATTCAATCTGACCATAAATCAAATTCTAAAACATAAAGCGAAGGGAAATTGAACGGCTGCTGCCGCTAAAATAAAACGAAGTGCCGCCCATAGAAGAAACAAACTCATGATGCAATAATCAAGAGGACAAAATTCAACCGAATAAATAAAAACATAAAAATCACCTAGCTAGAAGGACGAACCAAACTGGCTGCAGATGAGTGAATCTATTAGAAGGGATACTAAAGTTGTTCATAAAGAGCCATACTCCGAAATCATGATCCAGTAGCCGGAAGTACGGGAAAATGTGCTTTGGACCCCCTCGATGGGACCGGTTGTTTTCCTGCCAGGAAGTACATCGAGAAGAGTGGTCTTTCCGACACCACTCACATCCATGAGTGCCGTGAGCACGCCCGGCCTGAATGCGCCGGTTATGTCACACTTTATCACAACAAAATGTTGGACACATGTACTGAAATTTCATTGCACCACAATGTATGCAATTGGACATTTTTTTCCAACTCATGTATCGCTAAACATACATCCCTTTGATAATTGAACCTAAAAAATGACAAATACCAATTATTTATTAAATCACATAAATGAATGAAATGCCTTATTTATTTTTTCTATGTACAGTAATAATAGAGTACTAATAATATATCTCTAGTAAATCACATTAAGTACAGGTAATTTTAATATGGGTGAATCAAACATAATGACAAATATGCAACAAAGACAAAATTTATATTTTTATTTGTACAAAAGTGAAGAATTGACACCATTACATCTCTAACTGCATGAATTATGGAATACTTAAATTCGTTGTGACAATCTAATATAGAAATATAGAAACAACAAAAACAACAAATTCTTGAAATATAAAAGAAACATATAGTACTCATTTAGAATTTTAGATCTAGAAAAAACATGTATCTATTTTGTATTAGAGGATTAAATATTTCTAACCTTTAGGTCCAGATGAAACTTCATCAGTATCAAGACATGCAACACCCATATTTTGGCCCTTGTAAGTTGTATGTTTATTTTTTTTAACACAATACACTTGCTTCTGATAAACATCTAAATCGTTGTATTTTTTTTTTATCTTAGCCGCATTTCGACGTCCATATACATCCTTCACTGTGATACAAATGAATAAAAATGTTAAAAAAAAAGATGTATATCATGCAAAATAAATAGTATGATGAAAATGTTTACTATTAATTTCTTTATGGTGTATAACTTGCATAAATAATTTAATATGATTTTTTTATTAGGTAAATTATTATATGATATAGTAGATGAAAAAAATACATATTAATATGTATATATAATTATATATATATATATATATAGATATATATATATATTAGTTACCTATTAACAAATCAACTGTGGACCTTCGACTCATGCTACAACTTGATAAGATCCTTTAAAAACTAAATTATTGTGCCAAAGAACAATAAATTTAATTAAAAAATAAAATAAAATCTAAAATTAGCAAGAGAAGTGAAAATAAAATAGAAACGAAGGTAAAGAAATAT